TTTTTTTTTTTTTTTTCTGATCGAATGACAGAGGGAAAGAGACTGTCCTTCGCCAAAGGCGAGGCAGTGAATTATGTCGAGTTAAAAAGTTGACGGAGCAGGATCACCGTTAAGTGGAACAAGGTATCACAGGCTGTATATCGCCTTCGCCGACTGACCTATAAATTTTCGCATATCGTTGAAATACATTTATTTCGAATTTTTACAAACAACAAGTGGCTCTGTGTCGCCATCGTTGAAATGCCTGTGAAAGGCCATCATCAAGATGCTAATACTTAAATGTCCAGGTTCGTTGAACTATTGCGGCTAGAGCCAGCCAATTCTTCAAGCTCTACATAAATGTTCTTACGCTTCTGTACGCTTCTCGTATGCGTAATATTGCTCGATAAAATCTCTCGATGTTTCCTAGAAGTAGATTCCCTAATTTAGACATAAATTGCACCATAATCTTTGTTCGTGTATGAATTAACTTATTCCTCTCTTGGTATGATATTATAGCTTCTTTTGAGAAGAAGAAACATATCCTTAATGTTCTATGTATCGTAACAGTTATCTGGTACTTGCACTAGTTTTTTGTTTATTACATTGAAAACTTGAAGTTGTATTAGTGTCTTAAATTGGACCATTTAATGTAAATTGGACCAATTAAATTAAATCGTACTTTCCGGGGCACGTATAAGAACACACACGAGATTTTCTTCTTCTGTAAAGAAGCTATTTCTTGAAAGGTGAAATCATGAAATATTAGAAACATAATAAACAGCATGCTCTTTAGACTTTTTAGTACGGCAATCAATTATTTGGCCAAATACATATCTAGATTTTCTTGCAATTAGTACGTTGCAAAAAAATGTTTCTTCATCTTTTTTTTCTCTTGTAATATATAAGTAATGTTTTTGAACAGAGAATGATATAATAAAAGAGTGAAAAAATAGACACGGTTCAACTTAGAGTATCTACGATCCAAATTAGAAAACCGGTTTCGCAGATTGAACCACTGACGTCATTTACGCCAATTAAATAATGTTTCAGTCTGTCTTGTTGGATTTACGTGTCAATTATACAAATTTTTCTGCACACGTTTCCGATTTATGCAGGTATTTTCTCGAGTGATTTGATATAGGGAACTTTCCCCTACTCTTTGACTGACCTGCTTTGCATCGAAGCCGTGTGCCATTCAATTGCAACTAATACGAGACTATAACTTGACAAGAACATGTACATTTTTTCGTAAATATATATTTTTCAAAAAGCTGCAGCAGAATCTAGATAATGCTCGATACAGTGATCGAGCGATACCGATATTATCGTCAAAGAGAGACGTATCGTCATGAAACACGTTTTCCCAATAAACACCGTCAGACGCGATTACGGTTATCTACAGTTAAGGTCAGGGGAAAAAGGAGTTCGGGGTCTCGCCGATCTAGTTTGCCATGTTAGATCGGCGTGCATTCGCTCAGAAAGATATATTCAACGTGTGCGCGGCAATGGCTGAGCCTACGCCCATCGTAGACGGTATTATATACCGTTATATTATTTATAACGAGGAAACATATTTTGCCTACGCTTATGCGCCTTCCCGCCCTCTATGCTTTCTTCGTTCGCCGTGATTCCGCACGATCGTGCTTTCATTGCGATTGTTAATTGCACCAGCGCATAGGTCGAGTCGATCGTGAAGGCTTATTTCCAAAGCACGTCGGATTACTTTATCAACTTATCGTCGGTCATTAAATAACGTCGGTCATTTGAATGCGCCCACCGCTTAATTACAGGAACCCACTTTATCGATCTCGACTTTAACGCTCTCATTAAATTAATGCCGATTCCCGACAGTCTCTCGGATTATTGGGAATAAAAATCTTTGTAATTTACAACCAGCTGTTTCGAAATACATAGAATTCACTTGTCTTACTAGTTGGAAGTTTTTTGCACGTTCTATTTTCGTTCTATTATAGGCGCACTATTTTCTTCCTGAATCCTTCAATTTCTTTATCACCGTACGTTGCGTTCAGTTACTTAGCATTCAGCGTGTTTATTACGCCAATTAGAGTTTACGTCCGGCCAGTTACGTGCCAGACGAAAAAAGAAAAAGAAAAGAAATGAAAGAAGAAATCCGTATAGACAACTTTTTCGTTGTCCGCTTTTTACGTTACCGACTGGAATCGGTAAAGTTGCTGACGCTAGGTGTCGCGGCGACGCCCCCAGTGTTGTGTGTACGTACAAAGCGACATAGGTTTTTCAGCTGACGGCTGTGTAGTCAAGATGGCTTCCGCTGAGCAAGTCGGCCTGAACAAAACGTGGGAATTATCGCTTTACGAGTTGCACCGTACGCCTCAGGATGCAATCACTGACAACACGGAAATCGCTGTCAGTCCCCGAAGTTTGCACAGCGAGCTCATGTGTCCAATTTGCCTGGATATGCTTAAAAAGACTATGACTACCAAAGAGTGCCTGCATCGTTTTTGTTCCGATTGTATTATTACGGCGCTCAGAAGCGGTAATAAGGTACGTCCATATTCCGTGATCGTTTCTCGACGTCGTAGTTTTTGATTAGTGTTTATTTTTCGTGGCGTAGAGCATCTGGAAGTTACTTGCTCCACTAATAAATAGGCGCTGACGCTCGGTCAATATCCCGTCATTGTTTCACTTTGGTTTCTATATATCAGTTCCGTGTAAACACGATCTGTCTTTTTTGCACGTAGACTCAGTTGGTGATTATACAGTCAGAGATGGACATAATTTTTTTTTTAAACATTAACAGTCGATTACGATCGTGTTTTGTATCAGCTTCTGTCAGATTCGGTGATTTTAGCGCGCTTTTTGAATTGCATCGTAAGTAATCGTAAATAACTGCGTTGCAACGTTTGCTTCTTTTGTTCCTGATGATCTTTAACGTAGAAAAGTTGAATAATTCGTTCTCGCAATTGGGTCTAGATTTCTATTTAATAGTGGTGCAAACTGTATTTATTTCTTCGTTGTGTTAAAAAGTTCTGAGTTGTTGCTTTTGGCAATTGAACGGAGTTCGTTTATTTTTTATAACTGTGTGACTCAAACTTTACCGTTTTATGATTGCTATCAGCGAATTGAAGTGCCAGTAAAAGGTTAGGTTGCTTCTCGAATATGTTAACAAGGCATGGACTTCTACTTCTAGGAATGCCCGACATGCAGGAAAAAACTGGTATCTAAGAGGTCGCTCAGACCAGATCCTAATTTTGATCTACTGATTTCCAAAATATATCCCAGTCGTGATGAATACGAGGCGCATCAAGAAAGAGTATTAGAGAAACTGAGCAAGTCGCACTCACAGGTGGCACTGGTCAATTCTATTACAGAGGGTATCAAACTGCAAAGCCAAAATCGGTCACAAAGGTCTAGGAAGAATGCCAATGAGTCAGAGAATGCTAGCAACGCAACGTCCTACAATAATTCACAAAATGCCAGTGCCCCAGCCACGCCGAATGCTACGAACGCAGCAAATCAGAGTGACTCTTCTCAAAGTACCACAGGCCCATTGAATAATAGTAGTGGAGGTAATTTGAAAGGTTCTAGTTACATGTAGCTTTGCTATATCCAATGATAGCGTTAGGTAAATCGAATAGGTGGACTAGTAGTGAGTAAAATCAATTTGTAGGCACAACATCTAGAAATTCTACCACACCGTCACCAAATCCAGCAAATCAAATTCCTAAGCCACCGAAACGGCAGAAAAGTTTACAAAATTCCGAAAACGACTCGTCCAGTGCAGAAGCTGAAACCGGTGGTGGTGATTCCATGGTAGACACCGAAGGTGAAGGTCCAAGCGAGCCTCTGATGCTCAATGAGATCGAACTTGTTTTCAAACCACATCCTACAGAGATGGCCGGTGATAATTCGCTCATAAAAGCTTTGAAAGAAAATAGCATTCGGTACATTAAAACAACGGCGAATGCGACAGGTAAATATTCGACGAAATTGTACAAAGTTAAAAAAAGGGGATTGTATCCAGAAAGGAGAAATAAACTAAATTAATTTTTATAGTGGATCATCTAAGCAAGTACCTGGCCATGCGTCTAACGTTAGATCTAGACACAGAATTGTCGGAATCAGACAGGCTATTGAACTTTTGTATCTACATAGCACCGTCTCCTGGTCAGTTGGTAGTTTTAAGCGGCTCTCAGACATTAAGGCAGGTGAACGATAAATTCTGGCGCGTCAATCGACCCTTGGAGATGTATTACTCGTGGAAAAAGACCTAGGGAAGGCCTCGAAAATACCAATCCGATGGGAGCTAGTTGCGTTGAGCTCTGAAAAATAGAAAACAAAAAAAAGAAAAAAAGAAAAAAATAAGAAAAAAAAAGCACATTCTTACTACATGGAGTACAAAGAAATGCGTGTTGTTATAGATCAGAAATTAACAAGTACATTTTACTGTACTTCAGTAGCCTTGGATTATGTTCAAGGGAAAGGTACGAGGAATGTTCCTCGTGATGCTGCAATTTTTCTCTTTATGGGACTAGTTGTTTCCTTCGAAGAGGACGTTAGAAAGAAGCAGATAGATTTTTAATTAAAGCTTTGTACAGCGATTTATTCTAAATGCAACAGAGTTCAGTATCTTGGATATACAAACTGCCATTCACCAGATTGCATTGGATTATGAATGGGTCGATAGATTTTTCGTGAACCGTGTATAATCTTTATCAGACTATGCTATACTTTTTTCACAGATGTAAGTTAATTCGGTGCGCCCAGTTATTCAAGTCGATGGCCTCAATGGTTAAGTAACTTATTTATATAATAAGTCTCCGATTTGCTGTGGACCATACTGTACAGTTTCACGAAAAAATAAACCAATGTATATATTATGCTCTCTTGTTGAAACAGAGTATTTTAATCATCCAAGAAAACCAGAAATCACATTTCCCTCTCAGGATTGTTCGAAAGTTTTCCTACTTTTTTATTCCATCCTCTTAATCTGTTGGAGTGTGAGTGATCAGTTTTGCTTCTTTATTTCGTTCAAAGTGCTCTTTGATACGAAAATCTAATTTTCGATCACGTTAAAGTTACATGAAAAGCATCTTTAGCTTAGTAGGCGGAATAATCGATAAGTGCCGACCCTATCCTGCGCCCTCTTGCAATTCCACTGAACCGAAAACAATGCGAACGCTCCGACTCGAGTAATGCCACCCTCTTTTAGTAAACGAGAAAACCACATCGAATCGTTCACCCTTGTCACATCGTGTTACATTCTTTTCTTACATTGATTATAATTCTTCATCATTTAACGTTCCTATATTTTTGTTTTTGTTATTATTTTCTTAAATTCATTTCGATATCGTACATTACAAAGATTAATTCATCATCGAATGACATAACCAAGGATTGAACGAAACTTTTATGAATAAAGATTAGAACTTTTAACTTTAAAATTTTTCTTCTGTTTACGTTGCTTCAACTTTGTTGTAAGAATTCTGAAGGGCCATATACTTTTGAACCGATATTTTAAGGTACAATTTTTTTGATTAGCATTACTTAAGGAAAATGGGATAAACAGAGGAGATAATTATGATTTTATATGGTTATTTTTTTTATAACAACTTGTCAATTTTAGGGAAAGCATTTTTTCTCTATCCTCATCTACCTTGTATACATTTGTGAAAGTACAAATAGAACTTCACCGAACGGTTACAAAACTAATTTCAAGAAACCTGTTTTAACTTACTCGGGGCGAAATAAATATTCTTGTTTACTTACAACCTTCTTCTATTTCTGAGAAAAGAAAAGTTTCTTATTTGTGCAAAACAGTATAAAATTATAGAAACACTGTGTGTTTTACGAGAATTTTCTCGAAATAAATTACCTCATAATTAATTGAAAGTTTCAATAGTTTCATATGTGCCACTCTTTAGATCGAACATTTATTTTTACTGCTATTATATCGCAATGATACCTATGTAAAGAAGCGAAACGTTGGAAATGGGAAAGATCAGAATAGGCGGAAGTACGGCGCGTAGTAGAATATCCGGTAATCCGTCACCAGTATAACGTTCCTCGTCCTCTCGCAAGACCTCCGTCGTTAATTAATGAATTCATGACAGCGTTAGATTCACAGCAATCTGGGTAGCCTATAATTACAGAGTACGCAACCGGGTAATAATAAAGGCCTTCTAATTAACGCTAGAAATGAATCTCTAAGTGGATTCTCTATCGCGGTTTAGGCCTGCTGATAACGGTCGAGCCATTAGTAGCGAAATGTTAATTAATCAATTTCTGTCTAAAAAGACTGAATAACGAGCAACATTGTTACAAGTTCTTGGACTATTGCGCCAGCTAAAATAATTATATTTTATGTATCTCGATTACGCCCGTTCTCATACAGGAAGTTCACGTTTCTATTTATATTGCAAATTAGCTTTTTATTCATCATGTACTCGCGATCAAGACCACTTTACAGTTCAGCGTTATTCGTTTAACTTTTTTCCCTTTCTATCGAGAGAAGCTTCGTTGCTTTCCATCGAGTCTGTGTCTTTCGCCGCTGTAGCAGAAGACGAGCCATTGGACAGCAAATTCATCGAAGATTTCCCTGTCGTTAAGAAATTCATTGGTCCGTCGTCCTCGACTTGCTCGTCCTCGCTCCACTCCTTCAAGGAACTTCTCTCGGAAGAATCCTCTTTGAAAATGTCTCTCGCCTTTCCGTTCTCAGCGTCGTGCAGTTTCTCTCTGAGAAGTTCGTAAACCTCGTTCGAGGCGAACCTACAAATCCATCAAAGTCCATTGAAGTCAGGGGTTGAAAACAGTTATAAGAGTCGAAATAATCTTGAAGCA